TTTATGTGTTGATAGCTTCAATTGAACATATGGCCAATTTGGGAAATGACATTGAGGGAAGAAAAAAATGGGAATTGTGGTTAACATTGTGTTGTTGTTGAGACACTTAAAGATGAGAATTGTTATATAGCATTGTTAATTATTGCATTATATTCTCTTTCAATTAATAATTTTTTTTTTACACTTTGAAATGAGTTTGGAACGTTTGCATTGAGAAAATAATACCGTGAAATGAAATCATGGAAATGTTTATGAGGTAAATACATTGGTAAGTCCAGATAGGAGGTGTAGATGAAATTGGTAAGTTGGCCTGAATGTCCGGGGTGAAAGACCGAAAACACGCGCGGAGGAGGTACCACTTCCCTTCCAGTTAGCAATCGGTAAAGTGGGGTTTTGGGTAGTGCTAGTTGAGCCTACTTGCAGACACCGACCTAGGGATTACCTGAGTCGTATTTACCGCCCCTGTTGAATAAAATTGTAAATTTCGAAATTGTTGAGATTTCAAATTGTTGTTGAATATGATGATATTTTAAAAGAGCATGTAAATGAAATCTTATTTTAATTGGCATTGCATAGCATTTGCATTTAATATTGGAAATCTTGCATAAATGTATATACTTTGTTAAGGATTCTCTACTGGGCTTTATGCTTACCCCTATGGGATTTTGGTGCAAGAAAAAATGTGGTGATCCCGCTGAGTTGAGGGCACGGACACATTTTGGTGAAGAGTAAATAACCCTCTTTTGTTGTGATTTATTTTGGTAGCCAAGGGCTATAAATGTATGGGTTCGTGAAACCATTTTTGTGTAACCAGGCTTAAGCCTTGGAAATTGTAAGCCCATGAGGGCATTTTGTTATTTGTGGGATTCGATGTTCTACATGCTATAGATTCATGTATTGTTATACCTTTGAATGTATAATTCGCATGTGGGATTTTTGTACAAACCTTATTGATTAATGGTGTAAAGGTTGGAATCTTGCTATTATTCCTTAATAGATGTTGGTTAATGTACCTAGTTTGTGTTGGGTTATTTCGGGGCGTTACAGTGTTAGGGGCCATTTGATGGTGAAATCATTTGTTTATGCCTTTTGATATGGGTAGGTATTAGACCATCTTCAATCGTGTATCAAATTTGTCATTAAATTTAAATTTGATAAAAAAGTATTTTCTTTCTTTGTTCTAACAATTTCATCAAATAAATATCAAATTGAGAATATCAAAAATGTTTCACCGAACTGAGGACCAATATGCTCTTTCATAAAATCACTGTTCATTGCCGTTGTATTTTTACCACTGGATATACCGCAGATGTCCCACAGATATCCTCTTGGATGACCACTTCAAGGCAAAAATTTGTAAAAATTTTACACTGGCCGGTCGGTCGTCCGTCTGGTCAACCGATGGTTTGATAAAAAAAAACTAAATCCCTCTATTGGAGCAGGTGATATCAAAAAAAGCTTTTTACTCAAATTTAATAAAAAAGTTGATACACCGTTGGAGATACTCTTATACAAGGATGCATGTATTCTAAAGCAAAATTGGGTTAGACCACGTTATTTAAAATACATATAATATATGTGGTGTGCCTTTAGGCCTCGTTTGTTTGGTGAATTAGGTTGGATGAGATTGTTAGTGAATAAATTGTTAATGTGGGGATTGTTAGTGAGAAGCTTAAGTAAAAATGTGTTTGTTTGTATGTAATACTATGGTATGGGATTAATATATAAAATTACATAAATGCCCCCAAACTAACAAATGTTAAAATAATTACAATATATATATATAATAAAAAAATGAAAATGGGGAGACAACCCACGTGGGTCTGTCTTGCCCCTTAGAGCATCTCCAATGGAGCTGCTATTTCACTTGCCAAAGCTAAAAAATGACAGGAATGGCAAAAAGTTGTCTCCAATGGTCTGCTATTTCATTTGCCAAAGATAGCAAATGCCATATGTATTCTCAAATTTTGGCAAGTGAAATAGCAGCTCCTAAGCTTGCCAGATCAGCAAAAAATCAACAGCAATTTGGCACCAAATTCAGTTAAAAACAACAGAATTAATCCGATAGGGATCCCAATTTTCAGAATCAAACCCAATTTCCAAAATCAAACAAATTTTATAATGAAATTGACAAACCCAAATTCGGTTTCTCAATTTTATTTTTTTTTAATTCAGTTATCACCAAATCAGTCAATCCAAATCAGATGATATGCATTCACAATAAACCAAACGAAATCAGATAATCCAGTATCACAATAAAACGATCGGAAGTCCAAAAATTTGCAGAATGAAGATTGAGAGGGAGACAGATATTAAAACATATATATATATATATAGGGAGATACCAGATTTGATGGATGAACAAAAAAAATTGATGAAGACAGATATCAAAAATTGATAGATGAACAAAAATTGATCAAAAAAAATAATTAAGAAAATTTGAAAAAAAATACCAGATTTGAGTTCTTTGAAGATCCGGTTTGAATCCATAGCAAGCTTTGAGTTTCAAAAATCACGATCACCTCAGATCCACATACCAGAAAAATAAAGCAAAAATTAACACATGAAGAATGAGAGGGAGACAGATCAAAACATATATATATATATGAGTATGTATATAGATGGAGATCGTACCAGAAACAGAGAGTACACAAATCGGAGGTGAAGATTGAGAGGGAGACAGATCAGAGCTTCATAGAGAGAGAGAGAGAGAGAGAGAGAGAGAGAGACGTTTCGATCATAGAGGAGGAGAAGGGACTATTTGAGGGGAGGGATGGAAGACAGAGAGAGGGAGAGGAAGAGTGAAAACGGAGAGAGGGAGAAGACAGACTGAGAAAGTGAGAGGGAGATAGAGTGAGAGACTGAGAAGGAGACCGAGTGAGAGAGTCATAGAGGGGTTTCGATCATGGAGGAGAATGGGGAGTGGTTTGAGAAGAGGGAGACAGAGTGAGAGAGTGAGAGGGGTTTCGATCATGAAGGAGAAGAGAGAGTGGTTTGAGGAGAGGAAGACAGAGTGAGAGGGAGAGGAAAATGGTGGATCATTCTAGATGTATATACGTGGACGGTGATGCCTCAATGTATAAAAGAGTCATTGTGCTCTGTTTGGTTTTTTTTTTAAATATTAATTATTTTTTACAACAGTTATTTCAAACGGCTATTTCCCAAACGGTAATATTTTTCATTTCTATAAATTAAAACCCTCCATGTCACGTTTATTTCACACAAAATTTAGATTTAATTTTTGTTTTCTCCTCTCTTCTTTGAATTTGATTTCACAGCAAACCTCTTAAATTATTTTATTTTTAGTTTTTTCATCCAATCACTATGGAAGGTTTATCAAAAACAAAGAGAGGAAAATCATTCACCATTGAAGAAGATATGGCAATTTGTAAATCTTGGTGCCACATTTCGGAAGACCCAATTGTTGGCAATTCGCAATCATATGCTCACTTTTGGGGGAGAATTTACGAAAATTATTGCTTGCTTCAGAATGATCAGTCCAGAACACAAGCATCTATTCAATCTCGATGGGGTATAATCATGAAATGTTCTAACAAATTTCGGGGGTGTTTAGCACAAGTCGAAAATCTTCACCCAAGAGGGATTTCTCAAGTTGATATAGTAAGTTTTTATCTTCAGTTATTATGTTTAGTTTCTTATTCTGATATCGTATAAAAATTAAGTAATTAAATAATGTTTCAATTTTTTTTAAACAAATGCTTCAAACAAAACTATTATACCATCAAGATGAAAACAAACATTTTGCTTTTGAACATTGTTGGCCAATATTGAAAGACAATATCAGGTGGCAAGATGTAGCTCCCACGAATACGGTAAAGTCAAGAATGCATACAGTGTTTACCCCTAATTCAGCCCCCGATTCCCCTATGGAGAACTGCATTTCTCTTGAAGACAACAACAGTCTAAGTGTTGGTAACAATCCAACTGTTGGTGAGGGCAGTGTCTCTGCAAAGGGTAAAAGGCCGATGGGTAGGAAATCTGCAAAAGAATTATTTCGGAGAAATCAAGTCATTGAAACTGAAGACCAAAACATGAGTACACAATTGGACACATTTAACCAACACCTTGCTGAGAAAGAAAAGAAAAAAGAGGAAAGAGAAGAAAAAAGGATTCAAGCACTGCAGGAGATGAAAGAACTTGAGATGAAAAAACATGAGTTTGAGATGAAAAAGAAAGAACACATAATAATGACTACGGACATTTCTCATTTGGACCCTCAGATGAAAGCGTATTACACAATGTGAAAAAATGAGATTTTCGCCAAGGGGTCCTCAAATGTGAGCAGCCCAAATTTTTATTTCCCCTACCTCCTGATGAATAATTACGGGATAATATATTTTTAAAATTTGCAATATCATTTATTTTTTGATTTAATTGTTAGTCTTTATTTGCAATGCAATTTTTATTTTGTAATGAAATTTCATGTTGTTTTTTTATTTTTGAGTATTTTGTACTTCACAATGTAATATTATAATTAAAAAATAAAATAAAAAGACATTAAATGAAGATAATTTTATTAGAATAAAAAGACATTAACTGACATTAAATGACATTAACTGTCATTAAAAAGATAAAATGTAAACTTAATCTAACTCTCCTGCTCGGGACCACAAGTGTTCAATTAGATCATTACGAATTGCATTATGGGTTTTAATAGATCTAATCCTCTGCCGATTCAACATAAATTGAGCATGCTCCTCATTCGAATCACGTGACACTTGACAGCCCAAATTACTGGTATCAGTCTCAAGTTGTGCTACATTGCGTTCATTTTCTGGAATATCACACTCGCCTTCAATGATCATATTGTGCAAAATAATGCTCGATTTCATGATGTAGTACAGATCCTCATCACTCCAACCTCTAGCTGGAACTCTGACAATATTAAATTGTCCTTGGAGCACTCCAAATGCCCTTTCGACATCTTTCCGACATGCCTCTTGCATCCTCGCAAATAGTTGTCTCTTTGAGCCTTGAGATTAAGATATTGTTTTCACAATCGTTGCCCAACGAGGGTAGATACCATCAGCAAGAAAATACCCCATGGTGTGCGCGTGATTATTGATGGTGTAGTTGGCAGCAGGGGCATGTCCTCTAGTTAATTCAACAAATAAAGGCGACCTGTCAAGAATAGTAATATCATTTAGAGAGCCAGGCATGCCAAAGAAAGCATGCCAAATCCACAAGTCATAGGAGGCAATTGCCTCGAGTACAACTGTTGGTTTGTAATAGTATCCAATGTAAGCACCGGCTTGGGCAGTTGGACATTTATCTCAACGCCAGTGCATACAATCCAAACTCCCTAACATTCCAGGAAACTCGCGTTGCTCTCTCTCTTGCAATAATCTGGCGATATCTGCTTCATTTGAAGATCTTAAGTAAACGGCTTCATAGGTAGCAACAATTGATCTCGAAAAAAAATTTAAGGCGGCAATTGCAGTACTTTCGCCGATTCTAATATACTCGTTTACAACATCAACAGGCACGCCGTATTGCAGGATCCAAAGTGCTGCAGTCATCTTTTGTACACCGGATAATCCAGGAGCACCAATGGCATCACGGGTTTGGATGAAGTACTCATTCACTTGTTGAATATCATGTAAGATACTAACAAACAATGATCGCCTCATTCGAAAACGTCTTCGAAAGTATTCTTCTGGATAGACGGGATTATCTACAAAATAATCTCTATAAATTTGTTCGTCGCCTTTGATCCTCTCATGATTAATGTATCGACGACCACTTGTGGAACCAACACGTCTGGTTTGTTGGTTTAGGCTTAACATCTGTAATCTTTGTTGTTGCGCTGTGAATAGTTGCATCATGATGATATCATCATCAGACGATGAAGATTCATCAAAATCTCCATTCAATATGGCTTTAGTCAAATTGTTCATTGTAGGTGGATGAGTGAGTGAGTGAATATGAAAATTGTAAAAATCTTCTAGATGGGAACAGAGAATTTAGAAGATATGAAAATGATGGGTAGGTGAATATGAAAATTGTAGAAAACCTTGTGTTATATTTATAAAGAAAATTGTGGGTGGGTAGATGAATAATGGGTGGTTGTTGGGTGGGTGGATAAATAATGGATGGTTGTTGGGTGGATAGTTGTGAGTGAATGAATGCTGGATTAATAATGGATGGTTGTTGGTGGTTGGTTGTTGGTGGGTAATTGGTGATTGTTTATTTTTTATATGTAGTTAAAAAATTTATTAAATATGTAGTGATATGTTTTTTGATGAGGTGAATTAATCAAACAAATTTTTTTTTCAAATTTTTCATTTTTTTAATTTTTTATATTTGTCTGGTTGGGAATAATATAAATATATAATTTTTTTAACAAATAGGTAAAAAAATATCACAAAAAACAAAAAATAAACAAAAATAAAATCACAAAAAAACCTATATCCAAACAACACCTATAAACTTGGAGGGAAAGTTGGTTGAGATTTGCTAAAATAGAAAATGACTATTTGAACACCATTGCTATAATTTGGCAAACTAACACTATTCATTGCCAAATTATAGCAATGACAATAGCATTATAACAATAATGGTTGGAGATGCTCTTACATAAATACCCCAAACTATTTATTTTTATTGCTTTTATTTTTGGCCATTTTTTGCTGGAAATGGTTTGGCATAGTGTTGAACAGGAAGAGCAAAACAATAATAACACCAATAATCCCTGGACTAAAATCTGAATCCCACACCCTCTACAGCTTAGCTAATCCAACTGTGTAGTGGAATTGACAGTCAGACTGGAAAATAATCCAACCACAAACTGCTCAACCAAACATGCTGAGAGATCTCACTTCACTATCACTCCAATCCCACCATTCATGCGGGATAACAAACGTGCCCTAGAGTGAATATTACCATTAGGTGCTGTTTGGTTTGGTGTTTGAAATGGTGCACCGGGGTTTCACCGCAATAATTGTGGGACTGCTTGATGATGTTTTGCACTAATCATTTATTGGGTTGTTTTAGGAAAATATTTAAAAGTTAATTTTTTTGATTTTTAAATTTATTTTAAAAAATATTTTAAAAATATAAAAAATGATATGACTCAAAATGAATTAAAAATTCACTTTTAACCGATTTTCCAAATTGCCCCATTATATAAAATATATATAACACGTTTGTGCAGATAACACATGCAACCATAGTGGTTTGTGCATGGCTGCTGGTGCTTTGGACGCACGGATTGTTTAGTGTGTATAAATGAATTTGTAAAGCATATATATAGTTTTTTTAATTTGTTTTTTTTTTTTGGTTATTTTAAATCCAGTTAAAAAGTTTGTTTGAATTAATTTTTTTAGTTTTTTTTTTTTTTAGTTTTTTGAGAGGAAAAATGAAATAATTATACTTTAAAAGTGATATTTTGTCTTATTTACTTTTTAACTTATTTTGTCTTTTTATGACTAATTTAGTTCAAAAAGCCAATGCCAATCAAAGTTTTAGATATATGGCAATATAATGTTTGTTTTGCTTATGTGGTTATAATTTGAATGGCAATAGTACCATTAATTAGTGTGCATTTTAATTTTAATTTTTTTAGATTGCAGAGCACTAGTTGGTGTACATTGTTTGGTATTTATTTTTTATTTTTTTTATTTTTTAATTTGTTTAGAATTATAGAGTACAAACTAATATGTATTTTTTAATTTAATTTGTTAAGATTGAAGAGCACTTGCTAGTATATTTTATTTGGTGTTAAGTAATTTTTTTATTTTTTATTATAGAATATTACAAACGTAGTTGGAGTTTCATGTGTTTTTGTTAGTGATAATGTTTGAGGTAATGAAAACACAACAAAAAATTTACATATAAATGGCAACCGATCAATTACTATTCGAATATTGACTAAATTGATATTAATGATTAGGCTTTTACTAATTCATTGGAAACTATGAATAAGTTGAGGATTAATTGGTTTAGTGTGCCTTAGACCATCTCCAATGGTTCACCAAAACTGATATCAAATTCAAATTTTGATGAAAAAACCACTGTTCACAGCTCCAACGGTGGTACCAAATGAATATCAAATTGAGATTTCATCAAAAAATTTATCAAATTGACGACGAACCAAATGAATATCAAATTGAGATTTCATCAAAAAATTTATCAAATTGACGACGAAATACTGATTTCACCAAAACACTGTTGGTGACCGTTACAAGGGGGACCGGGTCGACCAGCTGGTTGCCCGGCCGGTTGACCAACCGGTCAACCAGTAAAATATTCAAACAGTTCAGGGAAAAAAGTTCAAACCGTTAAAAAAAAGAAAAAAAAAATTCCTAACCGGTCAACCGGCCGGTCGACCACCCGGTCGTCCCGAAAAAAGTTCAGAAAGTTCAAAAAAAAGTTCAGACAATTCGCGAAAAAAAAAAAAAAAAAAAAAAATTTTGCCTAACCGGTCAACTGGCCGGTCGACCACCCGGTTGTCCCAGGATAGATTTGGTGAAAGGTGAACCGTTAGAGTGAGTGATATCAAATTTGATAAAATGAGTCATTTTTGACTCAAATTTAATGAAAAATTTGAGTCACCGTCGGAGATGCTCTTATGTAAGAATGCAAGGATTCTGAAGTAAAATTGGGTAAAAACCACATTATTTAAAATACATATAATATAGGTGGTGTGCCTTTAGAGGGAGTATTACCATTAGGTGCTGTTTGGTTTGCTGTTTAAAATGGTGCTCCGGGGTCTTACCGTAATAATTGTGGGGTTGCTTGGTGATGTTCTGCATTCATCATGTATTGGGATATTTTGAAAAAATAGTTAAAAATTTATTTTTTAAAAAAAATTATAAAAAGTAATGTGACTAAAAATAAGTTAAAAACTAACTTTTAATTATTAACTGACTTTTCAAATTATCGGATTATATAAATATATATATATATATATATATATATAACACGTTTGTGGAGATAACACATGCAGCCATAGTGGTTTGTGCATGGTTGGTGGTGCTTGCCCAAGGATTGTTTATTGTGTATAAGATGAATTTGTAAAGCATATATATATAGTTTTTTTCTAGTTGGTTTTTTTTGGTTATTTTAAATCCATTTAAAAAGTTTGTTTGGATTGATTCTTCTTTTCTTTTTTGAAAGACTTATTTATAAGTCTTTTTTCAGACACTTATGTTAAGTTAAGTTCTGTGTAATTTCTTATAGAATCTCAAGTCCTATTTAGATAGGAATGTATTCCACAAGATCCTACATAAACGTAACGTGGCGTGACACTTACATAAACGTAACGTAACGTAACACATAAACGTAACGTAACGTGACACCTATATAAACGTAACGTGACACCTATACGTAACGTGACACCTACATAAACATAACATGACACCTACATAAACATAACGTAACGTGTCACGTTACGTTTCGCAAACTTAATGAGTTTTTATTTTTTTAAATTAAATATGAAAATATTACTGGTTTATGTTGGTATCATGTTACATTTCATATAAATATGATAGGAAATTGAATGTTGCCATAGATCATAGGTGTTACGTTACGTTTATGTATGTGTCACGTTACGTATAGGTGTCACGTTACGTTTATGTAGGTGTCACGTTACGTTTATGTAGGTGTCACATTACGTTACGTTTATATAGATATGATCTATGGTAATATTCAATTTCCTATATATGGTTTTACTGTTATTTATGATATTAACAACTAATATTGAGGGTAAATGTGTCAACAAATTTTCCACAGGACTTATGGGAACATAAGTTTTTTAATAGGACCATGTGTAGCATAAGTCTCCCTAATAGGACTTATAAATAATTTTCCCTTCTTTTTTTTTTCAAAAAAAAAAAAACTTTTTTGAAAGAAAAAATAAAATGATTATGGGTTGAAAGTGACATTTTATCTTATTGACTTTTTAAGTTATTTTATCTTTTTGTGACAAATTTAGTCCAAAAAGCCAATGCCAATCAAAGTTTAGGTGTATAACAATATAATGTTTGTTTTGCTTATGTAGTTATAATTTGAATGACAATAGTACCACTAACTAGTGTGCATTTTAATTTTAATTTTTTTAGATTGTAGAACACTGGCTGGTGTGCATTGTTTGGTATTTAATTTTTTTTTTTATATTTGATTTGTTTGAAATTATAGAGTATAGGCTAGTATATATTTTTAATTTAATTTATTAAGATTGCAAAACACTTGCTAGTGTGTTTTATTTGGTGTGGTTGTAATGAGATTAATTCGGTGAATTGGGAAAAAGTGACAACAAGAAGGGAGTTTGGCAGGTTGGATGTTGTTCCTGTAAGACTAAAGAATTCATCCTTTTTGTCAAAATGATGGTGGAGATTTGGGAGAGAAAAAAGAATTCTTTATGGAGGAAGCTTATTGTTCACAAATATAATGGGGAATGGTGTGGTGTAATGGATTTAGAAATACTCTTTTGTCCAAACAAAACTCCTTAATCTTTCTCCACTATCTTGTTTATCGTTTTCTCTTCCTTTCTTGTCCACCATAATTCTTGATTGTGGCTCTTCCTTTTATATTGTTCCTCCAGGACCCTCTAACGGCTCACTACCTCCTCTTGGGCTTTGACCTCATTTCTGGGCCTTCTATACAGCCCATGGGGTACACGGCTTCGGCAGCCCTTCAACTTGGTTGTATTCAGCTACGGCCCTTCACTAGGCCTGGTATGGGCTGACTTGCCTATGGCCAGCTGATGGACTCGGTATGGGCCGACTTGTACTTGGTCAGTTCATGAATCTCTAGATCTCATTTATTCAGCCACCACAATTGCCCCTCGAACATCCGATTAACATCTGTTATTCAGCGTGGCTGGCCTCTATACTTTTCGGTTTATAGACTTGAACAGACCTCGAAAGTTGAAAATACGGCGCACGCGCGCCTTTTA